TGCAATGTATAAAAAGTGAATAAGGAACAAAAAGTAGCGAATAAGTAACAGGGTATCAGTCGAGCGCGATATCAGGTACATATGTGCTAACAGGAAAATTTTACCACTACGAAAAATAACTTTCAACAGAGACAATAAAGAAAAGAAAAGAAATTATTAAAAGAGAGCAACATTTTTAAAGCGAATGAGGAACGAGTAAGTAGCGAATAATTAACAGGGTATCAGTCGAGCGCAGAAACGGGTACATACGCGCTAACGTGGTAGTTTCAACTCACCGAACCCATAGCTAACATCAGAGACAAGAAAATAAAAGAAAAAAGCAATACAAATTTGAAACGTATAAAAGCGATTAAGTAGCAGGGTATCAGTCAAGGGCAGAAACTGGTACATATACGCTAACGGTTTTTTTTTTAACTCAACGAATCAGAACTGACACCAGAGACATGAAAAGAAATAAAAAGAAATCCTTAAAGAATGCGCAACGTATGAAAAGCGGGAAAGAACTTACACCAGAGACAAGAAAATAAAAAAAGATAAAGCCTTAAATATAAAAATCGAATAAGGAACAATCTAGTAGCGAATAAGTAACAGGGAATCAGTCGAGCATGGTATCGGGTACATACGCGATAACAGGGTAATTCCAGCTCACTGAACCCATAGCTAACACCAGAGACAAGAAAATAAAAGAAAAAAGCAATACAAATTTGAAACGTATAAAAGCGATTAAGTAGCAGGGTATCAGTCAAGGGCAGAAACTGGTACATATACGCTAACGGGTTTTTTTTTAACTCAACGAATCAGAACTGACACCAGAGACATGAAAAGAAATAAAAAGAAATCCTTAAAGAATGCGCAACGTATGAAAAGCGGGAAAGAACTTACACCAGAGACAAGAAAATAAAAAAAGATAAAGCCTTAAATATAAAAATCGAATAAGGAACAATCTAGTAGCGAATAAGTAACAGGGATTCAGTCGAGCATGGTATCGGGTACATACGCGATAACAGGGTAATTCCAGCTCACTGAACCCATAGCTAACACCAGAGACAAGAAAATAAAAGAAAAGAAATTATTAAAAGGGAGCAACACATTAAAAGCGAATAAGTAGCAGGGCGCTGAAACGTGTACACACGCGCTAACAGGATAATTTCACCTCCTCGAACCAATATTGTACAGCAGAGTCAAGAAAAGAAAAGAAAGCATTAAAAGGGGAAAACATAGTAAAGGCGAATAAGGAGTAAGGAATAAGTAACGAGTAGGTAATGTATATGAAATTAGGAACATTAACGAATAAGGAATATGGAATAAGTAACCAACTTGACGATCCTCTCAAAATCTGCATCTTACTCCAATGTTCTATTTTTAGCAACAGTAGCCATGTTTGAGAATGTTTATGACGACGGATGGACAACCAGACGACGACGGATACAAAGTTATGGCAAAAGCTTGCATGGCCTTTTAGATTCAATTTTCGTGCAAAAATTGTGATATCATGGCTGTTTGTTTTCGTGGTTTTGCAGAAGTCTGCATATAAGTCTATAGAACATACTTCTAAATTTGTGGTTCACCTTTACCAACAAAATCAACAAAATTTGGTATCCCGCTAATGATAATGAATCCACAATAACTTTAAATTTCTGGTTATTTACTGAACATACATGCCTACTATTGGTATCCCGCTAATGATAATGAACCCACAGTTACTTTAAATTTCTGGTTATTTACTGAACATACATGCCTATAATTGGTATCCCACGAATGATAATGAACCCACAGTAACTTTAAATTTCTGGTTATTTACTGAACATACATGCCTATAATTGGTATCCCGCTAATGATACTGAACTCACAGTAACTTTAAATTTCTAGTTATTTACTGAACATACATGCTAATAATTGGTATCCCGCTAATGATAATGAACCCACAGTTACTTTAAATTTCTGGTTATTTACTGAACAAACATGCCTATAATTGGTATCCCACGAATGATAATGAACCCACAGTAACTTTAAATTTCAGGTTATTTACTGAACATACATGCCTATAATGGTATCCCACGAATGATAATGAACCCACAGTAACTTTAAATTTCTGGTTATTTACTGAACATACATGCCTATAATTGGTATCCCACGAATGATAATGAACCCACAGTAACTTTAAATTTCTGGTTATTTACTGAACATACATGCCTATAATTGGTATCCCACTAATGATAATGAATTCACAGTAACTTTGAATTTCTAGTTATTTACTAAACATACATGCCTATAATTGTATCCAACGAATGATAATGAATTCACAGTAGCTTTAAATTTCTAGTTATTTACTGAACATACATGCCTATAATTGGTATCCCGCTAATGATACTGAACTCACAGTAACTTTAAATTTCTAGTTATTTACTAAACATACATGCCTATAATTGGTATCTCACGAATGATAATGAATTCACAGTAACTTTAAATTTCTAGTTATTTACTAAACACACATGCCTATAATTGGTATCCTACGAATGATAATTAACTCACAGTTACTTAAAATTTCTCGTTATTTACTTAACGTGTATGCATTATCATTGTCTAGATTCAGTTTACCCGAAAATGTCAGTATATAAAACTAGATGATCTAAAGAGCACGTCTCCTTCAACTGGATATAGTTGCACCTTTAACAATGGCCACTCTCCAACGTTGTTGTATATTATATAATTCTTGACTAACGTAACATTTTGTTTTGTTGATTTTGTCTTGCTGATCATTTTTGGCTGTTTTCTATACTCACCAAAGTTTTCCCCCAAATTGGATAAAATAATTAGTACAGGACAATAACTCCTATAAAGAAATGACGGAAACCTTTATATATTGTAGAGTTTGTCCTGCTAATCATTTTTGCAATTAAAGTTTCTATTTATCTATTATAGTTTACCAAGATAACAGGCGAAACATAAAAAATGGTAAATGTTATGATGTACGGGCAATAAGGAGTTGACTAATATTGTTGTACATATTGAAATGTATGTAGATCTTCTCTTGCTGATAATTTTTGTAATTTAAATTTCTTTCTACGTATTTTAGTTTTCAATATAATCATTCAATACGCTATCTATAGTTGACTTATTGATTATGGTATCCAAGAAACCGTGAACACTTAAACGAGGCAGTATCTACGAAAGTCGTGAATTTTTAAAAATCCGTGAAAATGCTGTTACATAGATATCAATGAAAACATATGTTTTGTGTACTTTTCAGGACCTTAATGATTGTAATTAAGTTTTAATGGACTTCCCTTTTTTGAAATTGCCTTGGGGTTCTGTATTTTTAATATTTTTTTGTAGACTCACAATGTCATATATTTCAGAATAGATTTAGTTATAACCACGTGCTAGTCATTATTCCGTTGCGTATGTGCTGGTGATGATTTTGTAACTTCGTTACCAATATTTTCATTGAGGCCTTTTAACTTCTCTACCGTTAACACCGATTCCATGTATTTTATCAATCAATATTACCTTGTACGCCTGTGCATTTATTAGGGTTTTCCAGGGTTATTTCAATACGGGGCGGGTGAACTAATGAATTTTGTTGAACCGATAAACGTGATAAAAAATCAGTTACCGTGAAAAGAACGCGAAGATTTGCATCAAAATAGCTTTCATTCGTATTCTATATGAAACATATACCATATTCTTGAAACAAAATTGTCAACCAATTTGTTAGTAACACAAACACAAAAAACTAACCAATGACCAATGAACCATGAAACTGAGGTCAAGGTCAGAAGAAACCTGACATACTGACATGTACACATTAAAATCATTCTTTAAACCAAAAATAGTTCGCCCTCTGCTTTTTTTTTTAGGTCGAGGTCAGGTCAATCTTATCTGACGGACCCTGCAAGGAACCCATCTACCAAATATATATATCCTATTACTTATAATAAGTGAAAGCACTGTAGGAAATTTCTTACTAGAAAATATTGCTTCCAGAATTACTTTGTTTCTCATGTATTTGCTATATGATGCCAGGTGCTCCATTGAGGCTCCGGTGAGATTCTATTTTATTTTACAAAAATAAGCGTCTATACTCGATGTGATATTTACGGAAACATTGAAAAAAAGTATATATCTAAATCAATGGTACTTAACATATTAACTTTCCTTTCACATAAAGATTTAAAATGATTATTTTGCTACCAACTTTTTTTAAACAAAATTATATCTCCACAAAAATGGCAACCCTAGTCAATTAAAATTGGAGTTGATTGTAACTTCTACAGCGGTTTACTTTCTAAAAATAATTGATTTACTCAGCTTTGCAAATGAGTTCCAGATATAGGTGATCGATCCTTTGACATACATTTTATTGAATTCTGATGAGAACTATATCATTTAGATTCCCAAGTTGCATAACTCCCTAAAACAAATAATTTGCCATTCCAAGTCTTCTTAGATTTTGTTTCTTAAACGACCGACAATTTAAGTAGGCAGGAGAGTGTTTGCAAGACTAAAAGAAAAGACAGAGAATGCATGGCAGTCTTTTTCCCTGATCTGTATTGCTGGTAGGAAATACAAAAAAAGTCTAAAATTATGGTTCATCATCATCGATTCGTTCGTGTTGTATGAACTCTGCTGACCAAACCATTGTACCAGCAAAGAGAGCTTGCGCGATAGTTTAAACCGATGCGAAAGCAATATATTCAAAAGTTACAATCATGGAGTTAATTGCTCATTTTCTCAGAATTCAATAATTTAAAATCAAATGGTGAGACGTTTATGTCTTTCCATAATTAAAAAGTGTTTTAGAACAACTTGCTCATTAATCCTTTTGTGGTAGGATTCAGCAGCCGAGGCTGAGACAACCAGTACCCCATCCTCATCATGTAATTATCTAAAATGCATGCGATTTATTTTTTGCAAATATATATATATATATAGCTATATTACGCTATTTCATCAAGTTAAAATAGATTCGACAAATATCTGATGCATACGTATACGACTATGGGTTTAATCACGTCTTTAATATATACAAACACCAGATTCAGTAATTTCAGATACCTTTGATATAATCAGCAACCTTGTCATTATCCAATATATTCATTATATAATCCAAATTTTTAATTGCCCTCATCATATATTATGAAGCTTGAAATAGTGATTCAAGTGGCTCCTCCCAACAACTCAGTACATTGTAATTGCCCCCTCCCCCCGAGACTTGCCGAAGTCCGGTGATGAACATTTTCAGTTTCATTCAATTCCCAGTCTAACAGATTGCTTTTTGCTAGGTTGGGTTCTTTGTGGCAGATTTCGGGGTTTATAAGTTCTTCATAATAAAATACAGTTGACAAGGGCGAAAATAATTGCCCTGATCTCATAAAATTAACATTTGAGATCATTTGACGTATTGACTCAACAGTTATCTCTCAATATTTATTCAACATTTTTTTTCTTTTTTTTTCATAGTCTTATAACAATATATTGCATTTTCTTTAAAGGTACATTATGACAAATTCAATATTAAAATCTAAATACTCAATTGAACACACAATGGTACTATCAATTTAACAACATTAATATTTACAAGTACACATAATGGCTATAATAATCTTACAATCTTAATATCTAAATAAAAACAAAATGGTTATGGCTATATCAATCTTACAATCTTAATAAACAAATGACCACACAATCTTAAAGTACACAGGATGGCCATATCAATCTCACATTCGTAAAACTTACAAAGAACACATATTGGCCATATCAAGCTCACAATCTTAATATTTACAAAACAATAGAATAGCCATTTCAATCTTACAATCTTAATATTTTAGATAAAAAAAAAAGGACTTCAGTAATCATGGTGATGTCCCAATAAATATATTCGAACTAACACTAAAAATATAAAAAAAACTGTTGTCATTCCACTTGCACAGATTTTACTGTTAAAGCTTTCTCGCGTTTTCAGTTTGTTTTTTTTTTCTTGCGATTTGTGCCTTCGCGCTTACACTTTATAATATTACAGGCTAAAAAGCGAAATGTCTCATCCGGCCCCTATATAACATAAACAGATCTTGGTTTATTTGAACTGAAGCATATAGTTTTGCTTCAATATTTATGTGTTCTTAATTATGACTAATTCTCTTTAAAGGATAATAATAAATAGTGTCCCACAAAATCTCCGTTCTTTCTGTCTTCTTCGTTTTAACATTTTTCTTTTTAATGTTTTTGTGACTAAACATATTTTATTTTTTTCATTAGTTAATTATTTTTATAAATTTATAAAAAAAAAATCGTATCCGTTCGATAAATGCATGTTCTTATTTGCAATCTTTATGAACAATCCGTGCAACAATTCTTTGATATTCGAAGTATCCTCTTCGCTGTACCAGTATTAATGATTTGGCTGTCTGCGACGGAAAATGCCAAATAAATGACAAACCCTTACAAAAAATCCAAAAGCAAAATACATTGGCCTTTCGAGAGGTCGCTCGAGGGGTTTCTTGACAGTTGCCTACGACAGTAGAAAACAGAACGCCGATATAGTCCTAATAATTATTTTATTCTTTTTTTGTTGTTTATGAAATGGATTATTTGACCTTTTAGGTAAGATTTTCACAGGGTACACTTTAAATGACTTCCCCAAATCAAAATATTGTTCAGGTAAACGATGAAATTTGATGTATTTTCTATTTTCTTTTTTTTTTTTCTTTTTTTCTTTTTTTTATAATTTTTTTTTTGATAATTTTTATTTTCATTCACATATATTTTATCTGTATAAAGTCTGTATCATCATTAAACATATTATAAAGAACGATTTTTTTTTTACAATTTTTACTTTTATTAGGATATACATTTGACGACCATAGTCCACATCATGTGCTGGTTATATATGTATAACCATTTTAAACTGGGTTGTACCAAACGGACTGCTCGCCATTTAAACGGACAGCTTGAACATTTATTTGAATGTTTGATGCATAGGTAATTTCGTTCGTACATTTGTTACAACCTAGTTTTGTGATCATAAGATTTTCATCCACTCCCTTTTAAATTGTAAGCTATTCAGCCGTCTATTTCTGGAGGACTGAAATAAGACAGTAGTTTGAATAAAATTATTTTCCAGTACTGTTTGAATACAATTTATACCACAAAAGACTAGAAAGTTACCATAACAGTAAATTCTACTGCCGTGCTTTAGAACAATCACTACCTGGTTTCCTCGACAACATATCCGTTTGCAATATTCGTTAATAATCAATAATTTGTTACCGGTACACAAAACATCTTCCGAGTATTTTGGAACAAATGCAATGTCCTTATAAGAATAAAAAGAATTGAAATGTTCATAAAGTTCAATAGGCAGTTGATGCAAATATATGTTGTAAATCAAAATTACATATTTCAATTTAGGATTTCTTTGAAAGGAAGTTTTTGAACATCTCTGATCTATTCTTTGAGATGCATTACAAAGTTCACATATGTATGGCAAAGTATTTTTAATTTGACTTTCGCGATCGCGAAATGCCAAACCAAAAATACCAACCTAGTGAACAAGCATCTGACAAGCAACCGCACAAGCAACGCCTCCGGATTTTCTTCTCATCTTCGTTGGAATGCTGAAGAAATACGTCATGCATGAATCAGCATTTTCGTGTGATAACCAATTATATAAATGACATTGTATCTTTTGTAGTTTCTCATCTGCCATTATGACACCCATTAAGTAATCTAAAAGTATATACATATATATTTACATATGCGAAATTATATCTATATTACTTATTATATCAAATATTTTATACTGTAGTGCAATATGTTTGTTTTCAGCAGCTATTAATTTGGGGGGTGAAGGGGGTAACAAATTCAAGAACAATATCTACACTTAAGAAACGAATGAAAGTCACTTCATAACACTTTCAAATATGTACCAGTGTTAATAGTAATTCCAATATGATGTGCTGCTTTCGCCTTGTAAACAACATCCTGATAAAATTTCAGATACATCTATAGTATCGCACGTGTGAAATTATCGGTTTTTATCTGACTGGGACCAATGTAATAATAAGGATTCAACACATTTTTCCTTGAGGTTATTTAAGAAATAGTTCATGTAAGTTTTAGATTTGTGGGACATTTTTCGTTTATCTTAAAGGAGGGGGGAATCGAAATAACTAATTCTAGTCATAGAGTTTTTATAAAAATAAGGAGATTTTGTATGATTGCCAATGAGACAACTATCCACCAAAGTTCAAATGAAGTTGTCAATTTCACATGGCCTTGACCGTTATATTCGTTAATTTTATCCCTCGCTTACGTTCGGAACAAAATTCGAAAATGGGTAAATTTACAACAAATCTATAATGACTAGCATGAATCATTTCTTAAACACAAAATGTGAATATTCATTTTGAGATCATCATCATTTTGTGAATTATTTTGAACATATGACTTCGTGTATTTGTATACTGTACAACATATTATTGTGCCTGTGCGGTTTTCAAAACTATGACAGTCATGGATTTGTTTATTTCTGTTTTACGAGGAGAATTATTTCAGAAGAGTACTTCAAGTTCAGTATTATATAGTCTTCGGATATATTGATATTGCTGCCATTGTAATTTACTCATTTATTTATCCTTCATTTATTATTCTTTGTACCAAACATATTTTAATTCCAATTCTGATTTAAAAATAATACCTTGTACATGTTTTAAGTTTCTGATGGCAAAACTTGCTTTGCATGTCTGTCTTTCCTGAAAGAGAGCAAAATTCTAGGATAAATACTCTATATCTAATTTTACGACCGCCTAGGATTATTTTAACTGATCTTCACTGATATAGGTTGAATAGTTATTGTTGCATTTTGAATAAATAGAACATCTAGATAATAGTCAACAATCATTGTGAGGAGGCGTTTGTCCAGTACAAATTTACAAATAATTGATAGTCATAAAAGAGATACAGTAGACAACACATAGTAGGGACCTTCAATATCAGAGGAGGCCGTACGCTAAGTTGTATTAATGACATGGTTCTTTACTATTTGACTCTTTGTAGAACGCACGACTTTGAATGTAGACTAATTTACAGTTTCGTGTGTAGTAACTACCACACTGTTGGCTACTTTGTCGACTGTAATGAACAGAAAACGCGTTGCAAGTACTTGGAGTTTGTTTTAAACCCTGAAAAGGCGCATTACTAACCCATTTTTAATGTTTAAATTATTTCCGAAATGTGATTTGAGAATATCCTCAATATTCAGACTTGTTTTGAAATAGGAATCATGGACTTTCTGTCAGATTTCTTTCGTTTTCAACTATTTTTACAATAGGATGAAAGAACATATTAAATGACTTGGCGACATTCTTTTCCATTTATTTTCCATGGAGAACATTGATAAACTTTCGGCGCATAAAGACGACTTTTTAGGGAACCATATAATTATATGATCATAGGGATCATATCTTAATTTTGATGTTTATAGAAGGATTATTTTTTAAACTAACTTCTGATAAAACTGATGTTTAATTAAAAATTAAACATAAAAAGAAGATGTGGTATGATTGCCAATGAAACAACTCTCCACAAGAGACCAAATGACACAGAAGTTAACAACTATAGGTCACAGTATGGCCTTCAACAATGAACAAAGCCCATACCGCATAGTCATCTATAAAAGAACCCGAAATGACAAATGTAAAACAATTCAAACGAGAAAACTAACGGCCTCATTTATGTACAAAATAATGAACGAAAAAAAAAAAAAAACATGTTACACAACAACAAACGACAACCACTGAATTACAGGCTCCTGACTTGGGACAGGCACATACAAAATGTGGCGGGGTTAAACTCGTTTGAAGGCGCCAACCCTCCCCTAACCTGGGACATACTTGTAAATTAAGAAAAAGGTTGTTGGTCATATCATTTAATCATTATATAATACTTGTTACCTATGAGATACTTTTTGTTTATTACAGTCAGTGTAATGGCATATTCAACAGTTTAGAATTTCCGTTATATGAATGGAATTTATTAGGATTTCGTTGTTTAACTGTTATCCAATTGATAAAAGCTTTTGAATACTAGTAATTTGGATCACAAGGTCAATTATGTTTTTAAAGGGAAACATCTACTGAAATGTATTCTCAATAAATGTTTTGTCCTGAAATAGTGAAATTCATCGTGTATGGTACATGTAGGTAGGTAGCTCTTGATATACATCTCATATGATAATCATTAGATTTAAAGATTACGTCTGTCGCCCGGGTATGTATTAAGGGATAAATAATAAGTGAATTCAAATGTTTTCACAACAATTTTCCTGAACATTTAAGCTATGTTCAATGTGTCTGTTAACTGAATGACAACTTTAGAGATGAATGATAACGGTTAAGCGTAACTATGTGATATGTATTAATACATCTCATTGACTTAAAACATTACTCTTTTGATTTTCTACTTAAAGCTCGTAATAATGTTATGTCTGTACTCGAAGACAGAAATAAACAAACTAGAGCGAAGGATAGCCATCCGGAATTTATCCGTCATCGGTAACACATAGAATAGATCTTTAGAAACACACGTCTTATGCAATGTAATTAAAAGCATACGTCTGCTTTACTACCATTGCTTGGGCCGGGATGTCTGCTGGTTGGGCGTAAGTCCCCAACGGTATCAAGAAGCCAGTGATTCGGAAATGGGCATCATTACAATATTATTTTTTTTTAAATATTATTTAAGCTTTAAAAATTTATTAATTGTTTTAAAACTTAAGTTGTAAACCCTGTAGCAAATTTGATTTCAGACCAACGTTCCATTTTTTCCCCTTTCAGCTTAATTGTATACAAACTTTTAATGTATTTGGTATCTGGTGTTGAGTGTGCCTGCTGTATTTGAGAAATACCTAAAATCAGCATTCCCTACATATGGATTTGAGAGAACAAGCTCGGAGGTTTTCCTTAAAGTACATATGAAACAGGTGTAGTATTCCTAAAAACTCAACAATTCATTCCCGACATTAGAAAAGGTACTTTCCCAAACAAAATAATAGAACTTAATTTTCTTCCTTAACGACTTATTTTTCAATATATTTATTGTAATATCTTTTTGAAAATCCTTATACTTGTTGACCTTGTGCGATAATGATCTAAACTCAAACACGTTTCACTTAATTACCGTTTATGCAATACCAATTAAATTATCTTAATTGCTGTTTAACCGAAAAATGAGATTTTCCTCAAATCATTCGTCTAATGTGTATTACACGTGAATGGTGAAAACGAATCTATATCCTGCAGTCTGCATGACATTTGTACTTTTTGAAATAGGATTATTCATTAACAAGTAAGTGTTTAAACAATACTTTTTTAAAATCATTATCCATCAAACCAGACAGACTTTCTCCGAAGTGTAGTCATATGTCTTATCTTTCCTGTTTCAGAATTACTACAAAATTATTATCCTTGTAATGTTCAAGCAGCCTCTTTATGCGCTAACAAGACTTGGGATGCCATTTTTATACACATGAGGACAGACGAAGCTTTTTGTATTTCCCTACCCACTCGGCAGTGTGTGAGAAGGAGGGAGTCAATAAACCCATATTGGATTTTTCCGAAAAGGTATTAACGAATAGAATGTCTGTTTCAAAGGTTTTGGTGTGAAACCATCAACTTGGGTATGACTATTATTATTATTATTATTATTATTGTTTGATCTATTTTTCAGTTAAGGAGTTACTTTATGATAATCATAGATTTCATAACGAGTGAGAATTTGGTATCGCTTGTTATCAACTCGAGTTATTTAATTTCATTATAATGTTACACGAGCCCTGGGCGAGTTTATTATTACAAATAAAATTAAATAAAGAGAGTTGATACCTCTCAGTAGTTGTGACACTTCTCTCATTTAAGGTTAACATTCTCAGTATGACGTCATATGTCGTTTTCCGTCGTCAAATTTTAAAATTAGACATTTTAAAACTTTTTGTACCTTCAGAATGTAATAAAATTGGACAAATATAAGATTATCAGATGAAAAGTGTTTGTGTTTTGTATATGTTTGTTATAGTGCAACCTGTATATATACAACACATACATATCAGTACAATATTACATTACAGCCAGCCAATGACGATGCGTTGCCAAATTGAAACACAATTATTGTATATTTTTGAAAAATAATATATCTCCATTGCCATTTAGGAAATGTACATCGTTTTGATCTACGAAAGTCATTAATGACCAAACAAATAGCCGATGGAAATGTTGCAATATCGTTTCATAATGCCGGATAAGACAACCAAATTAATGCATTTTTGGTATCACTTTTCCGTATCACAATCCGTGCAGTGTGGTACAGGAAATATAACTTCATGCAAGAAATAGATAACAGACCACCAGAGAATGTCGCATTACTCAGAAAACCGAAATAAAATGGATAAACTTTCATTTCGTACCTTATTGTTCATTTTCTGGTGTCTATTCCTGCATCGGGCAAAATGGCCTGCTCCAGGATCCCACATTTCATTTTCTTTAATGTCACACGAAACTACAGTTTTCGATGCATTTGCTGTAAAACGGTGTAGAGAAAGTTATAATAAGAAAAAAATACACCTCGTTTAGTTGAACAAGCAAGTCTTTCTGATTTAAAGTAATGCAAATTAAACATATCGCTTTTTTCTTCATCATTAATTTGATGATATAAAAATCAGAATTATAATTTGCTTTCCACCAGATTTGGAAAGACACTCCAATATAAAATTCATACCAAAATGTATATATATAAATACATGTATGCATATTCACAAATAATTTTAAAACTTTGAATGCTATATCTTTTATATCATAATTATAAATGATCATCTACACCTTTAAATTAATACAGAAGTATAAATCTCGAGTCGATTTTCTAGAGAATTTACTGACCTTATTTCAAATATTCAATCAAAACTCATTCTAAGCTAGCAAATTCTCTAAATATGTTTTAAAAGCTCGTTTGGTTGACATAAAACTATTTATAAACGTATTTTATTCTAAAACAGACCATGAAGTAATGAAAGTTTTTTTCAGTACCTTTATAGAAGTAAGGCTAACGTCCGGGCTTCTGGGCATTTTTGTTTACATTTTTGTGTTATATATTGATAGAATAATTTTGTTATGATCTTATTGAAATATAGGAAGATCTAGCTAATTGTGAAATGACCTGAATATATTTGCTAATTGTTTTCTCATGACATTTAGGTTTGGAGTGTTGACGGTCAACATAGCATTTAAGGTAAATTTATTATATTTTCATATTTTTCTTTCAAAGAAAATCAGGATCAAATCATACAAAGTCTAAAAACATCACAAGGATAAAGCTTCTAACAAAATATCTAAAAAGGAGAGCTACTAAATAAATTAAAATGATAACTGACATTCAGTTCCCAACTGATAAAAATAAGAAGATGAGAAGATGTGGTATGATTGCCAATGAGACAACTCTCCACCAGAGACACAATGACATAGAAGTAATTCATTTCTGACTTCTCCTTTAATTACTTGTTCTGCTGTAATTCAAGAAAAAGGTTGCTGTGTCATATAATTACTTATTACTATAGCCCTGATTATTACCTTTTTTAGTACAGTCTATGTATTGATATATTTAATAGTTTTGTATTTCCGTTAAATGGATTGAATTAATTGGGATTTCCGTTACTTAACTTGTATCCTATTGAAAATCGCGACACTAAAAAGTCAATTAACAAAAATACCGAACTCCAAGGAAAATTCAAATCGGAAAGTCCCTTATCAAATTGCAAAATCAAAAGCTCAAACACATCAAACGAATGAAAAACAACTGTCATATTCCTGACTTGGTACAGGCATTTCCTTATGTAGGAAATGGTGGATTAAATCTGGTTTTATAGCTAGCTAAACCTCTCACTTATATGACCGTCGCATAAAATTCCTACTCAATGTGATAAAAGGGATACAACTCAGACAAGTGAGAATTATTCTCAATCAATATTTAATCCTGAAAAAGTTTTAAATTCATCATATACTGGAGGTAGCTCTATATATACATATCATAGGGAAAATATTGAAAAAAAATTAAAAGAAACAATCTGTCGCACGAGAACGCATAGAAGAAAAAAAATAGTCAAATTAAGATGTTTTCACAACAATTTTCCAGAACATTTTATTTATGTTTAAGCAAGTTATCATGTGTGTACAACATTAAATTTTTTCAATGTGTTCTTTGAAACTAAATTAGAAATATGTGAGTTAACATTGTCATGATCATATCTACTACAAAAATAGTTTGTCTAAGTCACTCTAAAAACCTAAATATTATTTCCTAACTATCCATACCTGCAGTTTCTTGCATATTTAATATGTGTAAACCATGCAGACAAGAAATAATCTCTTTCAACCTATTTATCCTTTGTTTTTTTTGTTGATTACTTTAGATGTCTGTATTGTACGTTACCATTAAACACAAGAACTGAAATATAGATTATTAGAAATCAAAAAGGGTACAACTAGTATGATGCCGAATTGTGATTTTTTTTTACAGAATATGCCTTTTGTCTCTTTTGTTTAATGTTTCATAACACCGAATAAGCAGTATAATCTGAAAATTTATCTCTTGTGTCGTTTTCTAATGGTGACATTGTTTTACTGAATCTAGGTTTGCATTGCGAGTGATGCATGCATAAGAGAAGACCCTACTCTGACGACACTCCCAGTCTAATTACATTAGTTCTTTTTTGGGTTCTTCAGGTTTTTCCCTTTGTTGATATATTCCAAGTGATTTGAGCATTTGCTAACTACTGTTGGCTTTTATAAATCTTATACATTTCGTCTTTTATCGTTAGATCATGTTAATATCTTTTGTTATAGCCCCCATGAAAACTTAATTTGTTTAGTACTACTTGCTCAATGTCAATGCTGATGTACAATGAAATCACGAAGATCAGCTAGAATACTTACTCTTATCATTAAAAGGCGTCATCAATGAAATGGCGGTGTATTGAAAAAAATAGGGGTAAAGATACGACACACAGGCATTTCACATCCAAAATTTTTCTCATTCAGATCATCATCCTTCCTAAAATGATTTCATCTTCGCACGCTAATATGTTCTGTTCAGCTACTTGATATTAACGGTTTAGGAGACTCACAACAGCATGATATTCGTTCAAAATACATGTACAAAATCAAAAACTGTAAAACCTGTAATATTTTGATAGCAAATGCTCATTTCCACGGTAAATCAACGAACCATTTACTGTGTCATCAGCAATGCTTACCTTTTTTGTGAATTAGCCAATATCGTTTTCAGGCTAGAGTGTTACCTTTTATAGGTTAATATAAGTGTCGAAAACGAATCACAAGCTAAATAAACGGATCCGCAGGTATATATCAGGTATTGGTTACATTATTTATCAGCATTTCAATCATCCAGTTTTTTTTATGTACTGTGAAAGTACTTTTATTCTTCATGTTCTTGGGGTACCAACTTGTTTGGTTTTGGTGGATGGCTTTATCCACGAATTTAAGTGCCCGACGACATATATCAACTGTTCTCCAAATCAAGACATGGAAAGATTCCCATGTAGAAAGTAAAATAACAAATATACCGAACGCCAATGGAAATTCAAAACGGAAAGTGCTTTATAAAATGGCAAAATCAAAAGTTCAAACACTTCTAACGAATGGAAAATAACTGTCATATTCCTGACTTGGTACAGGCATTTCTTTATGTAGAAAATGGTGGGTAAACCCTGGTTTTATAGCGAACTAGGTTTGACTACATGGATACGGGCACACAATCTACTATGTATTAAGAATACATCGAATATCAGCAAACCCACTAAGAACTATATATACAAATTCAGACAGGATTATACCCATTTAATATACAAAAAAACCTAAACTGTACGACTTTTAACCTTTTCATGAAAATTTAATTTTGATGATGAAAATCAGATTTCCGGTGATGATTTGCGATGATAAAGTGTTCATTTTATCTACTCATAATTCCCATACGACAAAACAAATTAATTATTTCATAATGGGTTTTCTTTTTTATTTCATAAGAATTAAATCTTTAATTGTAAGTACATTTGTAGCATTTTTTTTTAAATGTAATCATTTTCTTTAAGTGACATGTTTATGGCCTTATTAACACCTTCTGATTACACGTGTGGAACAATTAAAATGTTTACGTTGCAATTTACTTCATTCGAGACAATTTGTAAACATAGATGAATCAGCTTATTTCCGAAGCAATTGTTTTATTGAAAAATTGATGAATATTGTCAGTATACAGAAGAAAGACGAACAAGTAAGTGAAAATGAACACCTTATTTTGCAATGTCCCACAAATTATTATAAAACAGAATGATTATTTTCAAGAATCTTCGTTTCCGATAACTTTAAATTCTTCACTCGATTTTTTTCAGAAAACTGAAATCCACGAATTTAAGAGCCCACGAACATGTAACTCAAACCACGAAAATTGATACCCAGGAATAAAAATACCTTCACAGTAAGTTCGATCATCGAAACCCTAATCAAAACCAATATAATACTGGATTCGAGAACAAGGAACTATAACACCTTATGTTTGTATTGCAAAATTTGATGACTGTATATATTCTTCTGTAGCCCAATAAATGTGATGTATGTTTTACTCTTGTTTTGGCCATTAACACAGTCATAATAATTGACCATGATCATATATGTACGCTTCAGGATGTGTCAGTAAATGACAAATTTGCACATATAAAGAAGGCTTTGGATGAACATCGTATTATCCCGAACTTTATCTTTATACGATAATTCAATGCACACATAATGTTTTTAAAAAACCTCGATGATCAATATCCGAATTCTAATTAAACTTTCAGCTATCATTTCGAACAAAGCCCATCCAGATTTTTCAGACATGCCATAATTGTTGAAGATGACACATGATGCTACTTTCTGAAAATTTCTCTTCCAACAAAGGTTCCAATGCTATTATTTACTACTTTAAAGAATACTACACTTGTTGCAAGATCTCAATATCAACGAATTAAAGTCTAAAACCGTCAATTATACATGTGCCATTCCCCAAATTTATATATAATCCGGCTGCTCACATTATATAAGGTCACATTGTCGACAAAATTTCTGAACTGGAAAAACAACTTTAAAACATGTTTGATATGATTTCAGTGCACACAACACGTTTTGTAGAATACTAGTAATCTGCATGAGTCAAATCGAGATCAAAATGATCCTTTAAGAGAGAGAGTTGTAAAATTACTGTTATAAAAATAACAATTGGTTACATAACATTTTAACTGGGAATTACAACAAAAATGTATTAACAAGTTTGAATCCTGGTAATTCCAAAGAAGAAAAGCGATGGTACCGTCGAGACCTCCATTTCACTATCAACAATACTGATCATTTTGAAGATAAATACGAATGATATACTTTCTGTGCTACATGTATTTCTTAAATAACTCTAAATAAGTAAGATCGAAACCAAAAGTTTGATAGCCAAAAATATTTATATTTGAGATTCTAAAAAGCAAATGTATCTGTAAAGGCAAAAAAAAAAAAAAAAAAAAGATACCAGGCTTATAATTTTATACGCCAGAGGCGTATTTGGTCTTCATCATACTAATCAGTGGCGCTCGAATCGAATCAGTTGAAAGGTCAATTGTAATACAAAGTTTAAAAAAACTCATCAAAGATATTAGGCTTATAATTTTGAACCCAATTCACGCGTATTATCAAAACAAGGCACCCACCATGTTGATCACGGTAAGTTAGATGGTAAGTCTCATTCGATGTTGTTATGAAAATAAGTTGATATTGGAATTAGATATTGATGGCGTGATAAAATGATTAAGTAATCAAGTATTGACAATTCACCTGGTAACCTTATTTATACTCCGTCGACGCTAACTTATGACGAAGACCCGGATATTCAAAAATATTTTTTTTTAAATCGACAGAGCCATCTTTCCATATAATACAAACAGTTAGTTGCCCACAAAATACAACATAAAACACAGAAAACTAGAACTAAACAGTGAGCAATACAACCCAATCAAATACCGGGTTAGAGTCAGAGTAAGCATTAAAAATGGAAACCTAGATCTTCCCCTTACTATACTTAATACCTAAATTACATAAGTGTCCTGACAAATGACGTTATATTCGCCAATTGTTCCACGAAACACTTTTCCAATTTACTGGCAGCGTGTCAATAAGCAATACAATGATCTTGCATAAACTTATACCCCGAACGCCAGACGTGCGCCTCTTCTTCAAAAGACTCGTCAGTGACGCTCAAATCAAAATAATTAAAAAGGCCAAATAAAGTATGAAGATGATGAGCATTGAGGACCAAAAATTCCGAAAGTAACTTTGAACCTACTTTCAATAAGTGCGCCGTGAATCAGACGTGCAATAATATAAAACAAGAGGCTGAAGTAATTCTATATCACTCAGCTGGGTAAGATCTAGAGTTACCAAAAATGCATATGAATCAGATTATGTTAAAAACGATATGGATGTCAGCAAAAAACTGTACAAGTTGCTCAAACACATTATTTACGCTCAATGGGACGGATGGACAGGTGTAAACAATATGTCATGTAGGATGTAACAAAACAATTCTTTGAAATTGCATTGGTTTTCTAGATTCATATGCACAACTTTATATCATAATAAGAAATATTGCCAATTAAGTGTGATGGTAGTTTTATGCAAGACACAGAAGTCTTAGCTTTGTCAGTATTTTGTAATTGATGGTCAGACGTATATCACAAACATAGTATATTGACTTGTCTTTGCAATAATAAACAATTCAGTAGTTTGGTTTTTATCATATTGTGTAACTTAACAATTAAAATTTCGGTTTAAAACTAGGGTTCATTCGGAATGAATATAGTACACTGATTTATTTATATGAAATAAGAATTTTTGTAGACGATTTCAATATCATTCCTATTCTGGCGATCTATCATGCAAAATATTTTTTTTTATCAAAGACGACAAATAGGTTGTCTACACAAAACATGTATTATGTTCCACATTAGGCAACATCAGAAAAGAGGCAAGAGTCTTGTAAAAGTGGAAAACGACCAAAAAATAGCCATAAAATTATCAAGTTCATTGGTGGCAAGTCAAAATCTAAAATATGACTAAATTCCACCCGAATAAAACAAAAGAGTTGTTTACACAAGATTTGTGAAAGAGGGACATTACTGTACACTGCTTAATCTGGCGGGTGGATGTATACTTGTTGATAAATATTAGCCATCTGGTTCCAGAGAAGAGAATTTAAATGTGATTTTGCATAGGCTTCAAGGGAAACATATGTGCCACAGTACCCACCATGTATGTCACACAATCAGTACCAAATGAAATATGTTTATGGAGGTTCTTCCAAATTATCAATTATACAAAGTATGAACAGATTTCGCCTTGCAGCTCCAG